ACCTCTGGGCAAAGGTTAAGGCTCAGTTGCAAACTCAACATCTTCACGCTCTCCCCGAAAATAGAATTGGAGTTCCTACCCTATTCAGACTAGGGCCTGCATGGTGCTACTTGTAAACAGCGGCGATAAATCTTTGTGTAGTGTAAAAGATAGGACAACCCAGCATTGTTTGCATCGGGAGTTTATCGGACAATAACTGATCATCGGTGTAACCCGAGCCCAGTTTTGAAAATTAGTGCTACAGAACTAGGGGAGAAAATGGGCGAGGCACGTAAAATAAACACTGAATTTTATAACCAATACTAATGTATCTGAAAGAGGCATGTAAGATAAACTCAAATACTGAATTTTATAACTAATACTAATGTATATCTGAAAGACAGCCTGTTCAGTAAGGGCTGCTTACAATCCAATGTCTCATTTATGGCTTTTTAAAATAAAAACTGTAACTATCCTTTCAAGGATGCCTGTGTTTTGGGAAAAGACTCAAGTAGCATGTTATTTAAAAGTTTCACAGAGAACAGATGATTACATTCTTTATTTCAGCTGAATTCTTTATTCCAGCTGAAAGGATGTGCCATGTCAGCAAATTCATTTAAAGGATATATGTAAAGAGCAAGGGAGGTGCCTGTAGATTATGCGTAACAATGCTACAAGTACATAAAAACCACTGGTTGCTTGGGGTAATGCTTAAAACCTAGCGCTCTCCTCTCGCTACCCAGTTTTAAAATCAAAGGTCATGTAGTTGCCCCTCATGAATGAAAACATGAGTTAGCAGTTTTGCTCTTGCAGAGTGATTGCACATTATGAAGAGGTACATCAGGCATTTCAGAGTACACGCAAAAGGCATTGATTTCTGTTCAATGGTTTAGCAAAGTAAAGGAAACCCACCCTGTAGTGGCATTAAGACAAGACCTAAATCCCGACAAGTAGTGTTTGTTTACCTTGTTCATGAACAAACCATGACATTCATCCAAAAGCAAGTGCAGTCCATTTTTTTAAGAGTTCTTTGGAAAAAAAATATATCCAAAACAGGTAATCTTCTGGCGTGGAACAAGTGCAAAAAAGTTTGCCAGCTGTGTGAAAGCAATACACAAGCTTGCAGTTTCTGCTGTCTCCAACAATGAGTGTTTTGGGGACGTACCCACCCTGCTTTTTTGTGAATGCAAATGCCTCCTGGAGGCAGCAACCACTAGTGGCACTTGGCTCACCCACAATGTCCGCATCAGTCACCTGGAGGCTGGCTGGGATGTCCTTCTTGGTTCACGCAGAGTTGTATTGAAACTGTTCTTCTCCAGTTTTATAAAAATAAATCGAGACGTTCTTTTTCTGTGTAATACTGGCACAAAGGGAAAATGTTTTCTCACAAAAAGAGTTGGCTTGTGTGGTGCTCTTAAGACAAATGTTGCAGGCCCCTTTTCCCCTCTAATAGGGGGTCTTACCTTTCTAGGCTAATGTGCAAAACAAAAAAAAAAACAAAAAAAAAAACCAAAAAAACCCAAACAACAACCAAACAAACAATCCTGTAAATCCATGTCCGTATCTGGCTACAAGGGAGGAGAACTCCGGCTGTAGGCCTATCAAATGTTCAATTTCCATTTCAGCCTCAAATATTTTCAAAGTTGAATACTGATACATTCATCTGCTGTGATTGTGCAATGCTGGATGGTAGCAAAAGTACAGTTCTCAACTCCCTGTCGCCGTGTCTCCTTCACATTGCGGTTTTGCTGGGCCTGTTGCTCCAGCACCCCCATTTGGCAGTTCTAGGGAGTGTCAGGCTGCAGCGGCTCCTCATTTTCACCTGCCCATTGGCTGAAGCTTTTTTCCGTAGGATGAAATCGAAGTTTGCGTGGCTGTTCATGGCGTAGAACACATTGGCGTTGCCAGGGATCACCAGCTCTGCAACAGAGGGACCAGAGCAAGTGTTAGTTTGCAATATTGCACAGAGCAGAAGGGAAGCCAGGAGAGAACAGGGAGCGGGTGAGCAGACTGAGCGTACACGGCCAGGCAGTGCTGGGCCCCTTTCCTTGCTCTGCTGTGCCTCTTCAGCCCACGCTGCGTCGGGCGGCACCCACAGCAGCTGTCCCACAAAAACGGGGGAGCAGTGTTGCAGAGGGCAGGAGGTGGAAGCCAAACCCAGACCACATCCAGCCTGGCAGAGGCCCTGGCAGCCTCTCCCAGCTCTGTTTGCAGGGCCCCATGACAGCTGTAGGATCCGGGCCTGCCCTGACCCCCCGGGAGGTCGTACCCTGCCGCCTGACCCCTGTGGCAGACTGCTCAGGGGGAGAGAGCAGCTGCAAGCAGGGTCGATAGCCCTGCATCGCAGTGCACGTAGGAAGGTCTATCTGGCAACCCAGGAGCGCGCTCTGCCTGCATAAAGCGATGTGCTGACAGGCCATGATAAATCATCCCCGTGCACCGGTTATCAAGGGGGGTTATTCTCACTGGCAGCTGTGACAATATGTCCGTGGCATTTCTAACATTGCTCCACATTTTACTCTTTCCTTCAAAATCCAGCAGAACTTTTCTTTTCAAGCAGCAGCAGAGTTGTGCTTCCCTACCTTTGTTCTCGGAGAGGACCTGTACAAGCTCATAATCCTCAGCTGCATCAGATTCCAGGTGGTGCTTCAACATAGCTCTCTGGATCACAGCAGGAGTTTTGTCTTGGCTAGTTAGCTGGGAAGATAGAGTTGCAGTGAGAGATTCTGCTTATTCACTCTGTGTAATGATTTAATATAATTAGCAAAGGCCTGCCTGTCTGCAGACCACTTGGTCTTGAAAAACATTTCAGAGAAAAAAACATGATGGGCCAGTAACGAAGTGGTAGGTACTGCTAGATACTAAACCCATGGTATTTGTGACATTTGGTGGTGGTGGTGCTGCTTTAGTTCAAGGCGACAGATACTGTACTAGAAGAGACATCAGTAAATCACAGTGTCTACTCTCCTGAGCAAGCGCTTTGAGATGAGATGTTGTTCTCACTAGCCATAAAAGTCCACATAAATAGCTGCCCCATCTGTTGTTTGCAGACACCAATTAATCTGCAATCTTCTGTGCTAAATACTTTCTTTGACGTCCTGCAAAGATTTTTGGCCTTGTAACTGGGTTTACTGTCTGCTGTGGAAATGCTACACATCCGGAGCAGACCCAGGGCTCCCTCCAGAGCCCTGTGCAGTCAAAAGGAAGATTTGTCTTGCCAGTAGCCAAATTTGTCAGGCCCTGGAGGAATGGCTCTGCAATTTGTGGAGGTCAGACCGTTAAAATCTATAAGGTAGCTAAACGTGCTAAGAACTACCCACCCACCCCACCCCAGCCTGTGTGCTTGTTCCCCCAGGCCTTGAGGGACTGGAAGTGTTTGCTCAGCAGCTGAGTCTCCGCCAGGTATCTGCAGAGGTCGTCTGCAGGCGAGTCACGTCGCCCACAGTCCAGCACAGGCCCTGCACTCCCTCAGCCATTGGCCCAGCACTAACAGAATCCCTCTGTGGAACCAACATTGAGGGAAACACCCGAATGCTGGTTGCTGCTGGTCTGGCATCCTTTGCCACAGAGAGAAGCTGTGTAATTAAAGGGCTTGTCAGCTTCCTCCCGTACAGCTCCCTGTTTCCAGAAACCAGCTCCTGGGGAAAGCTTCTCCAGGCAAAACTTGGCACATGGCATCTTATGTCAAAACTTGCACACAAATTCTGAGCTCGAGAAAAAACAGCTAGTGCTAGCAGAAGGGCAGGAGCAGGAAAGCCTGCACTTGCTCAGAATGCTTCACTTTGAACTTGTTGATAAAACAAAAGCTTTAATTTCAAGACCTGAATCTTCCAGAAGGATGCTATTTTCAAACCTCTCATTCACACCATGTTCCACATAGTTTGAATTGTAACATTTGCCATTTTCCCTTTCAAGCCAGGTTTGATTAGTTGGCTCGGTGAATAGGTGTTTTCAAAACTAAAAGCGCCATTTGTTTAAGTCACTGTGGATGAAAACGTCACCACCAATAACAGTATTTTGCTGTTCCATACCACTCACCAGGATGCTCTTGTACATATTGCCATTGTCGTCTTCAGTGCTAATCCGGATGATGCACATATCTTTGTTCTGATGGTTGTAAATAGCAGGCAGTGCTTTTGAGGTAATGGGTGTCACAGAGACAGAGCTCTTGGAGCCGGCGCTGTTGGAGTCAGCGTCAGTGCTGTCAGCGTCGGCACTGTCGGAGCCAGAGTCGGCGCTCACAGAGTCGGTGCTGGCATTATTGGAGTTGGCACTGTTGGCGCTCTTGGTGTCAGCGCTGTCGGAGCCGGCCCTGCTGGAGTTGGTGTTGGTGCTCTTGTCATCAGCACTGTCGGCATCGGCACCATCGGAGTCGGCGCTAGCACTGTTGGCATCAGCGCTCTTGGCACAGTCAGCGTCGGTGCTGTTGGAGCCGGCACCAGCGCTCTTGTCGTCGGCGCTGTCGGAGCCGGAGTCGGCGCTGGCACTGTTGGAGCCGGTGCTCTCAGTGCTCTTGGTGTTGGCGCTGTCGGAGTTGGTGCTCTTGGCGTTGGCAGTGTCAGTGCTCTTGGCGTTAGTGGACAGCAAAGGTGGGGAGGAGACTAAAGATGACACCCCCGAGGAAGATGTGTCCGTGGAATGGGTGGAGGAACACGAGGAGGAGGAGGATTCAGAGAGCTACACAACGGAAAGAAAGAAAAACAGTGTCCTGAACTGGACATTTTGTGTATCTCTGCGTCATTCTGGAGGAAACTGGAGAAAGCACAAGGCACATACAAAGCCTCAGCCACCTGCACGCTGTCCAGCAGGCTGGCAGGGGTATTCCTTGCCTCCCGAAAAAGTGAACGCCACTTGATTATTTTCACCATTTTAATGAAAACTTATTTCCAGTGCTGCTTGCTCTTGCCTCTCAGCAAAAGCAGGCCAGGAGGTGGCAGCAGGCACAACGAACAGAACCAGGTTGTGGGCGACCAGCCGGGGATGGGGACCCAGCAGAGCTGCTCCTGCACCAGGTCGGAGCCTTTACCCGGGAGCTAGACCGGGGTGAAAACACGCATACGCCTCCCCTCTGCCCCTTCTCCTTGAAAATTCTTTCCTCGATGGAAACTGCCCCCTTACTTGCCCTGCTGCTCAGGGGTTTGCCTTTCCCTTCATCTGCCTTGCTCAAAAACTGCCGGGAGGATCTTCCCGCTCCCCCTTGCGTATCGAAATCACTGTAACAACTGTTCCAGCTAAACGGTTTAAACCATTTATGGATGCCAGCGTCTGGGACCTCGGGCTTCATTTGACCTAAGAACATCTAGTACAATTTAATTTAAAATAGCCGTAAGCGAAACCCCAATATAATGCTCTTCACATCCCTAAAGAGGGCTTCAACAGTACAGTTAACCCAATTTAGTTCAAAAGGGAAGAGTCTGTAGGAAAGTCGTCCCTGTGGACCCCACCCATCAGATCCCTTCTGCTGGTTTCCTGCCTTTACAGTTTGTCTTTCTGGACGGTGTCAGCACATGCCCGGCCCATCGGCTCTCAGCGTGAACACTCACAGCTTCAGCCTTGCGCTCATTTTGCTGTGGGGTGTCCCAGCTGCCAGCGCGCAGGGCTTTGCCTTTTCTGCAAAACACGGGATTCCCGGGCACGCTGGTTTAGCGCCTTTGTGTAAGACACTGGCTGCCTGTGCTAGGCGTGAGCTGGCGTGCAGCAGGAGGTGCAGCGGCACTGCGCTGCGCTGCACACCAACTTCCCCAGTGGAATTACACGGAGCCAAGGCGAGGCGTTCGTCTTGGCAGCAGGGAGCTCACGGGAGGTCAAACCCGCAGGGCTGGCGAGCTCTGACCTTACCTATCACCTGGTCAACTGCAGCTGCTCTCCCTGCCCCAGGACTCTGCAGCGCTGGCACTAGTGCACACAGCTGACTGAGCGCGATGAACACAGCAGCAGGCTGCTAACAGCAGGTAACTCATCAGACTGGAGATACTCGAGGAGGAAATGACTAGCTGTTGATCTTACTCCTCCTCCTCAGCTGATCCTGTCTCCTGTTTCAGTTGGGTTTGTTCGTAGGGGCTTATAAATCCTCTCGTCCATGTCACTGCTGATGTCACGCTGCCACGTGCCGGACGGAAGCGCCGCCATCTGCGAGTGTGGCGCTCGGGCTCCTCACTGCACTTCCCACAGGCTCCACGGTAGAAACGCTGCTAGCCTGCCCCATCCCTCTCAAAAAGCACAATGAGGGACTGAAAGAAAACTAAACCTCGTGCTTCTCCAGGGCCTCCTCACCTAAACCAAAACCACTGCCCGGCTCCACAAGAAGATCTGGTTTCAGGGAAGAACTTCAGTCTGCTTTGTATCTTTGCAACATAGGCTGTGCAAAAATCCTGACTGAATTGCTTCCATTTTTACACATTTATTCCTAGGGTCTCTCCATTTCACTAAAAGCAATGTTCTAGTCAAGACCAACAGGGTTAGGCAAGCATCTAGGGCCTGCCTGCAGTGTCGACAGTCTCTCGCAGGCTATTTACGCTGGCAACAAGGCTCAGACTGT